GCTGGAGGATATACAGGAAACAGACCCATCATAAGGATGGACTGTCCGAAGCTGCAAGTAGCCTGATTTGAGTGAGTGACCAGTGAAACTATCCAAAATTGAGCATTATGCCTGAAAGGAACTCACTGAGACACATCTGTAGCAGCCCTGATATTGGAATTTGGGGGATAAATGATGGGTCAAAGCCAGGGGAAAGGTCAATGAATTTTATAGTTGTAAAGTCATGTGACATTACAAACATGTTTTCTTACCAATTTTGATTAAAGGGACCCTCCCACCTTAACATTAGATTTGAGTTGAGATAGCCAAAATGGGGTCCCTGGCTCACAATTACCGGTTTCGGCACTCACAACATCGAGAAATGCCTTAAATCGGAAATATTGAATTTCAAAATTGCAGCATTTTGAATCAGAGGGGCTAATGCATGGTAATACCCCTCTGAATGTGTGACGTCAGCGAAGATATCTAACGATTTTTAAATGTTTGACTAAAACGTTTTGTAGCACGCGGTGGTATATGCTGCTTTGCGCGCAACAAGTGCCGCACTTTCAGCTGCCAAACTGTTGCTTCCAAATAAAGTCGCTAGGAACAGCGGAGATCCCAAAAAGGAAACAAAAGTAAAGTCTAATATCTTGAAAACCGGTGAATATTTTTCGGTGAAATTTGGTAGATATTCGTTTTCGCTCTTTCTGAACCGAGCGACATCACTTTCATGCCAATTCATAAACTTTTTTTTTTAAGGTGGGAGGGTCCCTTTAAATAACTCAATGAAAGTATTGCTTGAGTAGTAAGAGGGCAGATTCAGCAGGTCAAACTTTCAACGAATGTTGAGGCAAAGGTCAGATTTTTTTTTAATAAAATGTATATGCTTCTTGCAGATGTGAATTGAGATAAGAAGTATAATGGTGCAAGTTGATTTTATGTATGCTACCTCATTTTCAGCTCTACCACTTTTCTACCCCACCACAAGGCAGGTAGGTACTAGGTAGGTATCTAAGCCAAACGAGATAATCAATAGTCAATACCAATATGATATGATCAGTATAAGCATGCTGGATCAGGCCATCCTTACCAGCAGAAAAGCCAGACCTGCCACCACCACAAGCTTCCACATCATGAAGGCGTGTGAAACCTGCAACAGAGCAGCAGTGTTACCAGCAGAACACTATGGCAGTTCTTACAGGAACTAACCCATCTCATCCTGGTATCATAAGCTGTGCATCATACCTAACTAAAACAACATGACACTGGCAGCACTGACATCACATAAGGTAAGGGGTTCCAGCTCTATCACCTCAAAAAAGTCTTTAGACAATAACCCCTCTACATTTTTCATGGTCCTTTTCTTATTAGCCATCATTTGATCATCTGTGTCTAAGACTGAGATACTGATAAGATAACTGCAGAACATAGAAAATAAAAATTATTTGTTACATCACAACAATGGGATTCTCAGCATCATGTTTGATAAATAATTAGAGGCAATTGTGGGGAATCAGAAAAACATCAGGGAAACAACTCAAACTGAAATTCTTGGAGAAGAGCAACTCTTAAATTGCAGGTAAATTATTAAATTGAAGCATCACCCCTTTAAAGAAATGATTTAAAATTTTAGGTTAGTTATTCTGCAGTTAGCTCCAGACCTAACTTAACCAAACCTTACCTAACCTAAATCACTTTATCTAGCCTAACCTCCTGAAATCTACAGCTTTTTAGGCAAAATTTTAAAAAGTTAAAGACCAAATTCAAAATGTTCACATGCATTTTAAACTTAAGCTTTTTCAATTTGGCCTTTAACTTTTTGAAACTGCACCTAAAAAGGTGTAGAACTTAAGGAAATTTATCAAATTTTTTTTACACAGGGTTATGAACTAAATAAGCAGTTTTGTAGCTTGAGCTGAGACTAGCACAAATCAGGAGCTTTTACAGCCCAATGATCACCCTAGGCTAAGACAAAGATTTATCATTCTGAAATCATCCTCTTACCTGCCCAGGAATGATTCCCTTACAGAAAAATGCCAATAATCCTGCAACCTGTGGCAGAAGCCAATCATCAGTCAAACAGCATGCAGTTGGTGACAGCCAGGTAATGTGATTGGTCAATGCATAATCATAATCAGCCTCCACTGCCAGACTGGAAAAATCGCTACGACCTACTACAGTACACCCAGACTGCAAAGTATGGCACGCAGGTCGACGAGGCGCACTGGCCCAAGTTCAAAATCCGCACCAACCCTTTAAACTGAGCCGGAAAATCCGCACCCCAAAGCGAGCCGAGAGCCCAAAATATCCGCACCGAACCCATAGGCAATTATAATGCAAGGGACTTCATTCATCTCACTATAAATTATTTCCCCTCCAATTTCAGTTTCACGAGCAACACTCACCACGGGACCGCGCCGCGCACTTGTCCCGGAAGTTTGAAATAGAGCAAATAGACGGACGCCGGTGACAAAAGGGCGCCGGAGGGCATATTGGGTCACGTGACATTCGGAACTTCTCCCCTCTCTGTGGGCCTTCTACATGCTAAATGTCACGTGTGAATTTGACGAGCCTTGATAAAATCGCCCCAACAAACTTTCATATGAGTAAAACTAATGACGTCATTCCAAAGAAGCGTGCTGATTGGCAATTCAAACCAGCTGCTCGCAAATGTGACATACCAGTCACCACCGCAACCAGTCTTCGTTCTAATGACGTCGTCATCACGTCCGAGGCGAGAATGGATCTGTTCTGCCGCAATTGTTAGTTCGTAGAGTAAATTTAAAACCTTTCTCCGTCACCGTGCGTCACCGTGGCTGGCACGCATTTGTAGGGCTTTCCAAAGAACAGTCAACAAGGAAACCCGGCCGGGTAAGAAGACCAAGGCGCTGTTCGGCGGCCGGCTAGCGCGCTAGCCCGCGCACACATACGTGCACGTTGCCCGGAAACGGGCTATTGACCAATGAGAAGCGCGCTACGGGGGGCACAGGTATATGAAAAATCACAGTGACGTTGCACTTTCCTCGCTTCTCATTGGTCAATAGCCCGTTGCCGGGGCAACCAGCACGTATGTGAGCGCCGGCAAGAGTACTAGCCGGCCGCCGATCAGAGCCCAAGCAAAGTCCGCACCGCATCAAGGTCCAAGCCAAATCCGCACCGCACCAGGCAAAATCCGCACCACACCACTCCAAAATCAGCACCAGCCGAACAAGCCCGCACCGACGAGATCTCGTCGAAATTGCCATACTTAGCAGTCTGGCAGTACACAAGACATGCCAGGGACTCTCATGCACTGACATTTTGTGCAAGGGATTTAGCGCCGACATTTTGAGCATGATCATCGCAGACCGCAGACAGTTGGAGCCAGGAGCTTGATGGCTCTGTCCCTAGTTGTGAACCCTTCAATTGAAAAGTTTTGGACTCAAAGAAAGAAGAAGCTTGTCACCATCACGGAAAAGTATTTCCGTTAATGGTTCAGATTGCTTCTTGTCCATTGTCCTTATTATTTGCTATCAAACCTTGGAATTGGTCGTATATTTTAAAATTCCTCTGGTAGGTAAAATCAAAATTCAGCATTTTTTTCTGAACAATGATCATTAAAGTATAAAAACTCAAAACTGGAGTAAGATAACTAATTGGCTGAATGTGGCAGGGAAGTGCCTATTCCTGAACCCCCGTTGAAAATCTTATCCAAAAATTTTATGGATCCTATTTATTTTACGATTATAATTTATGGATTATAAATCAACTTTACAAAAGCCGATGCCTACGTGTGTGGACGCTGCGCAGTATTTGTTTACTTTTGGTAAGAGGCGCCGCGGGCGCCGCAGTTTTTCTCAAGGACAACACTATTCGACCGCCATCCTCACACCAGTCCTACCTTTCAGTAGTTTCCGGGCTAATGGTGACGAAAACACCACCAGACAATTTGTCATATGCAGTTTTACTGGCCGTTCCAAGTATGGTGACCACAGGTAAACTGAGTGATCAAAGAAATGAGCCAGATGTTTTAAACTACAGCACCTATCATGAAGTCAGCGACTTTGGGGCCGATTCGAGACGGAAACATCCAAGATTACTTTGCTTATAGAAAACGCCACCAGTCGATTCGCTACATGCGACTTTATCAGCCCTTTTGAAGTCCGTTGGCATAGTCATTGGTGAAATCAGATGACCTTCGTGACCCTGGGGCTGAGAGGTCATCTTCCCACTGCATCCATCCTTTACAGTGTAAACGGAAACCAACAACTGCGCTGGGTCAATCGATACGAAACGCCTCCTCCTGTAGTGTAAACGGAAACCAACAACTGCGCTGGGTCAATCGATACGAAACGCCTCCTCCTGTCCTGACGCACCCTGTCCGGCCGAGAGGGGTGGGGCGGGTGCCATCTGCACAGACGGTTTTATGCGGTTGCTGTAAAGCGCTAGCCATAGTATGTCTGGTCACTGACCTGACTCGCACGCACTGCGAGTCAACCACCCAAAGAATAACATTTTCCGACTTTGACCATGAAATCACTTATGCCGCTGCATCGTGCTGATAGCAAACCGTCTCGTGGCGTCGACGGGACGAGACGCCACAAGGCCTGTATACGAGGTTCACGAGACGCCAGCACTTGTCTTTTCAAAGAAATTTTGTCAGAGTGAAAAAGTGTGTAGCCCGTAGTGCCCGGGTGCCACGCTACGCAGTGCTTGTTGCGAATGACACCACAGACTCTGACCACCCGATCTTACCCGCATCCGGCTTACCGGTGATTGTTTAACTCGGAAGTTGAGAGTACCGCAGATTGATTTCGACTCAGTCCTCTCGTAGCCCTCTCCCGCCGCTTTCAGTTGTTTGAAGAAACGCGGGTCAATCAACGTGGAGCTCCACGAGCGCGAACTCTCCGCCGAGGAGTCACAAGACGCCTTTCCATTAGACTAAACGGAAGACTTGCCAGGGAAGTTGGGCTGGTCCGCTGGCGTTGTCCCAATCAGTGAACAAGACAAACCACCAATGCTCGGCAAAACCAGGAAACTATAACCAACTTTCCACTATTCATATGAAAAAAGAAAAGGATCGCAAAATACAATACAAATGCACGTACATGCTGGCAAAAAATGTCATGTGCTCAAAAAATGCGCAATCTTTGCACACAAAACAGCCAAACCACCTAATGCACGCTCCAGTCTTGCTGGCTAGGTGCGTGTCATTGCTAAATAAACACAGGTCACAGATACATTCATAAGAGGCAATATGGACCTAGTAAACAGAAGTGAGCGTACATTCGATACACGAAAAATACAATATAGCAAGAAGCATCAGTATCAACTATCGGTCACGACGACGCCGGCCCATGTGCAAGTCTCTCGTGGTGTCGTCACACGAGCGAGACCCGGCGGGCCGGCGTGACTGCCACCTTCAAGGGCCGCGAGCGTGGTGCGTCCGCGACGGTGTCGGCTGGTTCCTCCTCCTCCCAGCCGATTTCGACCTCGTCTGTCACCGTCTGTTCCAGAGGAAGATCTGCCAGCTCCATCGGATCGACAGCAGCCTCGTCCTCTGCGGCGTCACACTCGTCCACCACCACCTCTCCACTCACCAGCGCGTCGAATAACTCGCCACTGCCACCAGTATCACCGGTGTGATCTACGACGCCCTCAACGCTAACCCGTTGATAAGATGGATCCACATGACGTTCCGCAGGAACCGGCTCTACCTCTGTCTTCTGAATTGTCCTACGAGCATGACCTGAAGGCATGCCGCGCAGAACAAGCAGTTCACCCTGACGCTTTTGTACCATAGTGGTTTGGCTGTTTGCTTCTGGTGAAGGTACTGCCTCAAGCTCCTGGCTTCGGTGGTCGAGTAGTGTCTGATACAGACGTCGCTTTTGGGCAGACGTCTGCGCCGCAACTGATGCGTGTCGCAGTGCCGGCAGCGGCAGACGCATCTGTAGACGTAGGTGCTCGTACTGGCCACGTGTGAAAACACGACGCAGCGCCACGGCCCTACGCAGGTCCTCGACGTCCCAGTCGTCGGCACGCAGCCTGTGGCCAAGCAGCACCTCCGTCTGGCGCGGTGTGAACACCGAGAGAAGCTCGACACGCTGCCGGTTGGCCTCTAGGGCTCGCTCGTTGGCCGCCACGGCGCTCTCCAGGAGCGCAGTGCGAAGTTGTAGCATCTCGTCCCGGAGTCGTTGCAGCTCGCCATTGGCCTCCTCCAGGGTGGACGGCGACAGCAGGAGGTCTCCGGTGGCCGCGCCGTCCGCGTCCGCCAGCGCGGCGTCCACCGGCGGGAACAGCGCGTGCGGCGGCTCGTCGCCGGCGTCGCGCTGCTCCAGCTCGAGCTCGTGCCGCGCCTGCAGCGCCTGCAGCTGGTCAGTCTGCCGCTGCAGCGTCAGACGCAGTGAGCAGAGTCGCTGCTGGCCACTGAGCACGGTGCGCAGCCGTCGCGGCAGCTGGTGCTCCCCGCCCGCTACTACAGTCACGGACTGCGCCGGCCGGCCCCTCCGACCTGTCATAGGGTCAGAGCTCCGACCGACCGAGGCAAAGGTGACTAACGAGCTCCGGCCGGCCGCTCCAGCTCCGGTCAGCAGCTGCAGCGACTCGGGGTCACCGTCGTCGCCGCTCTCCGCCGCCAGCTGCTCGGCGAAGCCGCGAGAGGTGAACACACGCACCGGGTCGGCGCTGCGCGACGGTGCTGGCAGCTCCTCTGAGCCCGGGGCTGCGGCTGGCAGGTGACCGCGCGCACGACGCATCTTAAACTGGTGACGCAGGTTTTGAACTGGGTCGCCATCCAGCTGGCCAGTCTCGTATGCATGCAGAGCCTCGCTAACATGCTGCCGTCGCTCCTGCTCTTTCTGAGGGTCCCTCGGTACAGCTGGTCGGATCTCCCGAGGCCCAGTCCTGTGCGTGACACAATGGTCAGTGAGTATGTTTTAGATAACAGCCAAATACAGCACCAAAAAGGTACGTTACTGGAAGATTACATGTTTTATTCCTTCACCATTTAGTAAATCAGATATACTATTGACAGATAAATCGACATAGTGTATGTTAGTAAAAAATATGAGACATATCCTCGAGTACATATCCATGCTGTACTTTCCCTGTCAGTAAATGTCTTAAAGAACAGGCGCCGTACTTTCCCTGTCAGTAAATGTCTTAAAGAACAGGCGCCGTACTTTCCCTGTCAGTAAATGTCTTAAAGAACAGGCTCGACGCCCACTGGTCTAGCCACATTGACATTCCTTCTTAAGATGAAGATATAACAGAAATTGAAATTTGAAAGAGCTCGCCGAGAACAGGTCCAATCAGGCTGCTAGCCTCCCCAAGTCCCGCCAACGGTAAGGTAAGGTAAGGGGTAAGGAATACTTACTACTCTGGTACTTACAGCTATGTTAGTGGTATACAAACTGTGCAATGAAGGTTAAGAAAAAGGTAAAGAGCAGTTTAAATGATATTAGGACTTAGGTCTCAAGGCTCAGCACAAAAGAGATTTGGTCTTTGGAGCTGGAACAGCATAAATAAAGGAGATTCAAACATGTCGAGTTATATTCATATTTCGGTGTTCAAACTAGCAGCTAGCTTTACTCGACCGTTGGTTTTGCTTACCAAAAATCTTTTAAAGGTTCATGAAAACATTGTATTTTGCTCATGATGAAAATGATTCTTGAAAAGGATAAATTTAATGTTTCTCTACGCTTTTTCCACAGAAAAATGATTTCTATTAAAGCAGCAAAAAATATGATAACCCATGAGGTGAAGTTTCTCAGCCCAACCTAATCTAGCATAACTGAACCTAGCCTTCTGCCAGAGGCAGGTGTAGGGCAGAGTAAGGTTTGATTTGGTGAGGAATGGTTGCATGAGGCTAGGCCGAGTTGTGTTAGATCGGGCTACAAAAACCTCATCTCAATAGATTATCATATTTAAAAAATAACAGTTTCTTTATTCAGGGCATGGAGAACATGGAAAGGAACTGAATTAGTTAATATATATATTATAATTTATTGGTCCTTGAGAAATCACTCGGAACTAATTGTTGGCACAATGCCTACTTGTCTCATGTTTGCAAAGTGGTAACACACAATGATAATGATAAATACAGCTTAGGTACCTACCTTATCCTTTTCCATCCAGCCAAAACTAGTGATGGAACAGCATCTGCCTTGAGGCGGGGTTTTACAACTGAATTACCAGCCACTAGCAGGTGATACTTCATTTCATTTTTATAATCAGACTTCCGGAAATGAGCAGAACATATTTTAGCATGCTTGCCTGACTTACTAGTCAGTAAATCTAAGCGACCACAGACTTCAAGCCAGTGCTTAGCCAGTGACTCGTCCTTTGGCAGAGAATGAAACGAGACACGCCCGCCAGAACCTGAACCTGGCCTGCATCCCGGCACCAGGCAGGGTGGCATTGCAAACAGACCACCAAAACAAAGATCCTATTACGAAAAATCACAATAGTCAAAGTACGAATTCCCCAATCACCGTTCTAAAATCAACAGAATTTGAAGTTGAAGTGCGTGCACGTCTGCACGAGCCAAAGCAAGCCCATCTATAGAGCCAAAGCGTAATTTGTGTCACACACCAAAGGCCACGGCGGCCATCGTTCGGTCCACGCTTATTTTGAAGCTACTGCGCAGATTTCGCTTCACCCTCACCACTTAGGCGCCCCTAGCGGTAAATATGTAAAACAATTTATTATTTTGGTCGCTCACACGAGTTACAGCGAAATAAAGTCAAAATTTTGTAATTGTAAAACTTAAGTATAAAATACACATATGATTAGAATCTTGATCTAATAATTCAGGCCTAGCTTCATATAAAATAAACAAAAGAAAAAAACCTGATCCGGAGAAGTAAGCTCTGGGGGGCTTCGGTAAAAACTGGATTGCGTCAGCTGGCTGGCCAGCTGGCGACGTACGATAGGTATTTAAATATATATATAAGCCAGGTAGTAAGATGGACACAACTATTTCAAATGGCTTCAAATGAAAAATTGATAGGTAAATATTTATTCTTTTATATCTAGCATTGATATGTAAGAAGCTCTGCTAGCGCCACCATACGGCGCCAGCTGGCAAATAATCCAGTTAATACCAGAGCCCGGTCTGGGTGTTGTGGGGCGTGGGTCGCTGTCACAGAAAATAATATATAATATCCAAGGTCTGGTTGTCTTTCTCTGTGCTTGGCCTCATGTAGGTAGCTCTTCATCTACCCTAACATGAATATACGCACATGCATGGTCGATTGAATTACTTTTCATTGCACCTTGACATTGATTTGTTAGACTTATACAATTTGAATTATGTAACATGCAAATGCATGCTTAAGCCATTGTCTGTAATATTCGATGATGGTCATTGTCAAAATTGCTAGTTTTTTGTTGTAGCAGAGTGCAGACATCAACAAAAGAATGAAGTCAAGTTTGGATACAGATACAATGCCTTACAGGACTGAAACAATAGCTTTACTCTGGAGTCTGGACTGCTATGCTATCTGAAGGGCTCTAAATTGGTCATAGTCATGACCTTCCACAATTTGTGACATCCAGTGTTTCTTCAGTGTTTTTGCTATTTGATGTTCTATCACTAGGTTTCTGTAATGTATTTATATTTTGACAGGTCAAGGTAGGTAGGATATAGTGGATTTTATTAATTGTGAAAGTGAAGTTTAAAATTTGTTTCTAAAAGTCCTATGGTTTAAGGTGTTCTATAGTCATTCATAATTAAATGTCTTTTTTAACCTACATGTATTTTGTCATGCCATGCTCTGTTATTAACTATGCTATGCATATCTGTTGTGAATCACCTAAGAATAACTACATACATTAAATTTTCACAGATTTGACATCATACCATGAAGAGAAAACATGGTTCTGAAGAGGCCCAGCAAGGCCACTCAACTGAAACATGCAACAATGGCCCAGAGACAGGTCCATCTGAGTCCCAGACCCGATCCATATTTGACCCTGAGCCGGTCGCGAAGCAGCCTGCTCCGGCTCCAGCAGCAGAATCGGCGCCACTGAGCCGCGCCCAGAAAGCGCAGATCGAGCGCAACCGCCAGCGCGCCCTGATGCTGCGCCAGGCGCGGCTGCGCGAGCACCCGGCGCAGGCGGCGCTCGACGGCGGCTGCGACGGAAGGGTGCTGCGCGTGCAGGGCACGCGGCTCGTCGACTCTGGCGGCGGCTTCTTCATCGACGAGTCTGAGTCGGAGGCGCCGGCCGGGCCGCCGCCGCTGCGCGAAAAGCCGGCCCCGCTGCACATCACGGATCGGCCCGACTGCGACGAGTGCGGCGCGCCGGTAGCCTCCTCGTTCCTGGTGGACAGCTTTAACTGGCCCGTGTGCGACCCATGCCAGAAGGAGAACAGCGACAAGTATGCCCTCATCACGCGCACAGAGGCCAAACAGGAGTACATCCTTAAAGACGAGGACTTTGACAAGCGCGAGCCAGAGCTGCGCTTCATCACCCGCCGCAACCCGCACAACCCGCGCTGGGGCCAGATGAAGCTCTACCTGCGACTGCAGATCGAGGAGCGGGCGCTCCAGGTCTGGGGATCGGAGGAGGAGCTCGAGCGACAGCACGAGCTTCGCGATAAGAAAAAGGAAAAGATCAAGGTAAACAAGTTCAACAAACGTGTGAAGGAGCTTCGTATGGCGGTGCGTAGCAGTGTGTACAAGCGGGAGCTGACGGGACACGAACACACCTACGGTGAGGAGGTGCACAATGATGCAGACGATACCTACACACGGACCTGTACGGAGTGCGATCACTCACAAACCTACGAGAAAATGTGAGCCAGACTGTAATTGCGGGACTGTTTTGATGAATGCAGCAAGACGAGCAACAGTGAAGCAATATGATGAATGGTGAAAATAATGTTGTACTTGTTAATTGATCTTTTTGGATGAATTGCTGCGCGTTCTGTGGAGTAATTTTTTAGTGGATCGGAACTTAGCCGCGATAATTTGATAGGTAATGTTGAGGAACACTACAAAACGTTACGTGCTCGTTTTAAGAGTGCGCTAATATTTAGGAGTGTAGTGGGTAGGTCGAATCTTTGACGGATGTTGCTGGCATCATTTTTTCGTCTTTATGCATTACGCTTCATTATGCCCCGTGCTGCTCTTAGCTTCTTTGTAATCAGTATTCGCACATTTGTTTTATTGGTGTTGTTTTCCGTCGGCGATGTCCCAAACAGGGTGCATGTTCGCAAGCCGTAACGCGATATGTTGAATAATATAGCTGTTTTATAACACAATTTATTCATCTGCATACTGTCATGAACAAATCCATACTCCTGGATATTCTATGGCATATGGCAAACACCACTTTAATGTAAATACGTTTATTGTAGTACCAAATGTAAGGACAAAAGGCTCTTCGAAAACAAAGGCGTGAGCTCCGCTCCCAACCAAAGTACCCCGATGGAGAGCAGTCTGGCAGTAAATGTTATCGGACGACCTCGAGCGGAGCGAACGCGCCGATTGAGTTACCCCCCCCCCCCCTCCAAATCAATCTCCCACCCAGTCCCCTCCCCTCTCTCTACGTTACGCCATCCATGCGTGTGTCTGAACACAATTATTTGCGGCCTCACGGACAGATTAAGAAGCCGGCGGTAATCGCCCCGTTAAAATGTAACCTGCTGACGAGATCCGGGTCGGTTACAGCTGTCACACTGAGGGTGGCGCCCACCCTGTACGGGTGATCGCCAACGACTCTGGCTCCCCAGCTGTATCAACTAAGCACACTAAACACCTGAGCGCGACCGGGCGAGTCTGCGGCACGGAATCAGAGAGCACGGGAACGTTATTTGGTCTGAGCTGTGTTCTGGCAGTGCGTTGTGTTTTGATTCTCTGGCAGTGTCTGTTGAGTTAGTAGTACCCCAAAATGTCTTCCATTTCCTGTAAAGAAAGATACGTCTTTCAGATTGCGTCGCAGTCACACAAACAAATGTCCGAAAATGCATGTATGCCCACCTGAAATGAGTTACGCCTCTCATCACCTTTACTGCTTGGCTCCATCCGAAAGCCATCTAAATCCCACCGATTACCTTTGAACATCCCAGGCAATCAGAGAACAAATTAAAATCATGAACAGGTGAACACTGTTAGTCTTTAGTATGATCAATTAACTATTTCTGATCATTTGTCACCAGACCATGATCCCTCCATGATGGATTTCAAAACACGGACTAAGGTGCCTCATATGATAATTGATATGATGGTGCCAAAAGCATGGATAAGGTGATTGTCGCTTAACGGGCGGTGGATGTTCTACGCGCAAACGATAACCATAACTATTTTTTGGATATACCAATTACCAGGGCACTAAAGGGAGATATCACCAAACCAAAACGTGTTCCCGCACCGGGAATCGAACCCGGGCCTCACGGGTGAGAGCCGTGTATCCTAGCCACTAGACCATGCGGGAGGATGAGGTGACTGTGGCACCCTAACCATGTGAACAGACAGTACAATGCACCCCACTCCCACCCTCATTCATTCATTCAATGATTCATTCATTCATTCATTCATTCATTCATTCATTCATTCCTAACCAAGTGCCCTCCCAGCACAGTCTACACACCTTTTAAAAAGCGTTTCCCCGCCTAGCCTGCCAATCCTCCGTACCTTGAGCATATCGTTGCGTTGTCTTCTAAAGGCGAAGCGCCTAACGGTGGCGGCCAGCCGGTCGTGTAGCTCCTCGAGCTCAGCCACTGTCCAGCCGGCCGTCAGCGAGACGGAGCGTTCACACAGCGCCAGCAGCCGGGCGCGGTCCACCTGTGGACAGTTCACACGGGGTAGCTGTGAGTGACACTGGGTAATCGGTATCGAAAGCAGGCAGTGGTGACGGGCGGGACCAGCTCTCACAACCGGGAGATCTCTGCCGCTGCGATGCACCGCGTCGGCGGTCCGCACAGTTCAATGTCTACATCCTATTCAATGTCTACATCCTATATATATCATCCAATAGCTATGCAATGGTCTTTTCAGACCAAAGGAGCCTGCTCCTAACAGAACGAACAATCACACACGAACAGACAGACAACATGGACAGATGACACGCGACGGAAAGACGTGCGGTGCACTGCAGTTGAGAGAATTGAGACAGGGGACGCACCTGCGGACTGCGAGGCCGTGGCCGAGCAAGCATGGCTAAGCAGGGGAAATAATTGCAGAGCAGGGAGGGGATGAGACGGACCTGTGTGAGCTTACTGTGACTGGGGCACCAGGCAGAACAAACACAGCACATACACTCATAGTCACAGCCAGGCGTATGGGGACGTTTAGGGGACGTAACATGCGAAGTAACGTAACATTACTTCGCATCGCGAGGATATGGTTTGCGCACAATTGGCCAGTTCGAATGATGGTAATTTCGAGTTCATGTGACGTCTAACAGCAGGGTTAAACACGAAAACGTGAATTTAGGGTCACTTGAGGTCAATATAGGGTCAGTTCAAGTCACAGGTGTTGTCTGGTCACAGGTCACGTTGGATCAGATCAAGTCACAGTGGTCATCTCAGGTCACAGCGGCCACATTAGGTCACCCTTGGTCAGGGCAGGTCACAGGGGCCACCTCGGGTCACGCTAAGTCATATCAGGTCACCCTGGGTCAGGCCATGGCACAGGGGTCACATCAGGTCACGCTGGCTCGGGTCAGGTCACAGGGGTCACGCTGGAGTTTTGACGTTGGCCGAACGTTGGCGGAAAGCGTTTTGCGACCACGGGATATCCCTATCTCTCGTGTAAGCTACTTCCTGGGGACAGCCCTACCTCCCCGTCTGTGCCTGTGTCGTTTCTGCTCCGACTCAGTTACCTGCACCCCGGCGGCCACCTTGCCGAGCTGTTCGTCACTGGCGGCGGCCGTGGAGCCGTGTCCACTGTCCTCGTCCGGCGGCGCCGCTTTGGCTGCTACCGCCTCCTGTCCGGGGGACGGGCCGCCCTCCGCCGGCGGCGACTGGCCCGCGCAGGCCAGCGCCAGCTCGCCGCTCAGCCGGCGCTCGCGGCCCGACTCGGGCCGCTCCGGCTCCGCGCCTCCCGCCCCCGAGTCGCGCTCGGGCCGCTTCCGTTTTCGGCTGCGCACCTGGCCCTGGCTCCAGCGACTGTGGCGGCGGTGCGGACGCCGGGCAGAGGGTGTGGCCGACTCGGCGGCGGCCGCCGGTCCGCCGCTCTGGACTGTTGGGCAGAGGGAGGGGGAGGTCAGAGAAGGTAGAGTATGAGTGAGTGGCCCAAATGCTGGACGTTACGGATACAGCTGCCAGCTGCAGAAAACGACAAACTGTCAGATATGCCCATAAAATTTGTTATTGAAGTATAACCAGACGTCAACCACCAACTTCTCACCACCCTCACCCCTTCGAAGTCAGCCCGCACCACTCACCGACTTGCTGTTGCTGCTGCTGCTGCTGCTGGTAGAGCCGCGGCGTAACCAAGTAGCTGGGCGCGAACTTGGTGGGCGATTCGGCACGCTGACGGCGACTCTCCCGGATCATCTTACACTGCTCCTCAAAGTCGGAGTCGAGCTGCTCTGCAATCAGCTTGTGCGCCTGAGAAAGATCGGATTCCATTAGACGTCACCGTCCGCCGACCACACGGGGATAGAAGCAATCACATGCCAACACATTGCTACGCTTAACGCTAATGTCTTTTACATAGTCCTTTGGGCACAATTTATACTCCGCAGATCAAGCCTCACTCCTCGATAGTATAGTGGTGAGTATCCCCGCCTGTCACGCGGGAGACCGGGGTTCGATTCCCCGTCGGGGAGCTTTTGAGACACCCCATCATTCTTTTTACAGCCCACGAGTCAGTTTTTATGCTTTGCATTTTGTTGCACCTACGTACTCGATGTGAACAAAATTTGGATGGCAACATATCCATAAATTTTCTGGGGTACTGTTTCCTAGCAAAGACATTGCAAAGCTGCTTACCTGATCCCTCAGCATGCACGCGCGGTGCCGTATCTCCCGTCCAACTTCGGTCGTATCCGGGTTATACTCCAATGCGTTGGTGCAGATCAGGTCTACGTCACCTAGGAAGTCTTCGGCCGCCTCGTACCTGAGGGCAGGACATATCACCGTGGTGATATCACAGACGACAATATCGCTACGGTAAGAAACAAGCGGATGCCATACACCTAACACAGTCGTCACAACACACTTCGCACAACCCTGGGACATAGTGGACTGATACACTTGGCGTGGTGACATGCATTTACACTAGACAGAAACATTTGAGTATGGAGAGTGAGGAAGCCGCCAAAATCAAGACACAGCTCGGCGACATACAAACACGTACCGGTTCTTAGCATGTCCTTATCAGACAAGACACATGAGAGCTTTGAGTGTACTGCACGGGGCAAAACACTTAGACTGTCGTCCTGGCTTCCGTCTCAACAACACATACCTTAGCTTCCCTGAACCCGTCCCGCACTACATCTAGAAGACTAACTACAGTCTACAACCGTAGTAACCTGCTAATAGATCCTAATCTTGGGCCAGTTAGCGCTCTGCATAGGGTCAGTAATGCTAACACTACCAGCAGCTGTCACGTCGGTATCGCCTACTTATGCTGATCGATGCGCGTCATGATGGTGTCCAGGTCCATGGGCCGCTCGATGATGCTGTAGTAGTCAGGCGCATCATCCTCCTCGACAGGCTGGCGGAACAGTTCGAACCTGCGGGATCAGGGGCAAGGCGTCAGGCCGCGCCTTCCAGCGAAGACGGAGTAATGATCTAAAGAAGGACAGACCCAGACGCAAAAGTGTGGCGTCAGCCCAGGCCTTCGAGCGAAGACAGAGGAATGGACCAGGTAAGGACAGACGCAGGGGCACAGCGTCAGCACAGGCCTTCGAGTGAAGACGGGGGAGAGAGCCAAGCGAGAGCAGATGCTGAGTGTGGCGCCAGCACAGGCCTTCGAGCGAAAACGGAGGAATGAACCAAGCGAGGACAGAGGCAGGAGTGTGGCGTTAGCCCAGGCGTTTCAGCGAAGGCGGAGGAATGAACCAAGCAAGGAGTCAAGGAAAGACAGATGCAGCGGACAGACGCCGTCAAGGAAAGACAGACAGAAGCCTAGGCTTTCGAGCAAAGACGGAGGTGGGAATCAAGGGAGGAGCGAAAACGGAATTAGGAATCAAGGAATAAGCCAATGGGCACATACGCCGAGGTAAAATGGGATATCACTCTACCACCTCCCCTAGGAAGCCGACCAGTGTTTCCTCTCCCGTCTGCGGGCCCGTCCAGCCCGCCTCTCCCCGCCACTCACTGTCTGTTGCGGATGAGCCTGCCGCACATCTCGCGCAGGAAGATGCGCAGCTCGGCCAGCCTGCGCTCCTCCCGGCGGTGCAGCTGCTGCAGCTCCGACTCGCTGAGCTGACGCGGCGGTGGCGGCGGCGCCACCGGCAGCTCCTCTGGCACAACTGGACAGAGCGACAGGGCGTCAGGGTAGATGGGTAGATCCCAGTTCCCTAGGAGGAATTACCCGCGCCACAGGCTCACCATTATACCTATATGTGTCCAGTGTCGTAACTCATAATGCACGTCCAGATAGGTATATTAATGGATCGCAAGAGGCGACTCGTACGTCGACATTGTTCTTCACAATCCAGATGAGTCGCGAGCATGGGTAACGGCGGAGAGTGGCAAAGCCAAAACTTGATCGGGGAAACGAGTTGTAAGATACAAATCACAGTCGAGAAACAGAAACAGAAATAAGCGATGGGCGCAACTTGTTTCATATGAGGGAAAACACCTGGTAGGTATGCGGTACTGCGGAGCGGAACAATGGAGTGTGATACTGTCAAACAAGGAAAATGGGTGTCCAGACATGCAAAGTAGGTAAGCGACGGTTCAGCGCTTAACTACCGCGATCCTGTTACATTTATCACATCCACTCCTCGATAGTATAGTGGTGAGTATCCCCGCCTGTCACGCGGGAGACCGGGGTTCGATTCCCCGTCGGGGAGGTTTTGACCCCTGGGTGACCTCACAATTCAATGCACGCAAAGCACACAATCGAAAATAGTTCCTGCACTCCTCCACCTTGGCTTCGCTACCTTGAATTTGCAATCAATTTCGCCAGTCACGGTAGCCAGCAAATGAATGTTGTTTATTACGAGGTAGCGGAACAATTATATTGAGCTGGAAATCAGTATGAAAATCAGGGGGGACATGGGGGCCATGCCCCCTCCCCTTGGGCCTCCCGAGGGCACCATCACGGAGTTTTTTTTTTAATTCATCACGGAGGTCACCGACGGGAGCTTCAACACAGAGGTCTCCTAAGGGGGCACCATACAGAAGGTCTATCCGCGGAATAGGGTACCGTTTTCGGGGCCTCCGGTAGGCCCATTTCTGTCCCTCGCCTCGGGTGAGGCTATTTCCATTCCGAAGTCCGCGGGGGCACCATCTCGAGTTCTCCGGGGGCACTATCTCGAGTTCTCCGTGGGCACCATCCCAAGGTCGGAGGGGGCACCATCTCGAGGGTCCGGGGGCACCATCCCGAGGTCTCCGGTGGCACCATCGCGAAGTCTGGGGACACCATCCCGAGGTCTGAGGGCAGAGGGGGCACCATCCCGAAGTCTCCGGGGGCACCATTCCGAGGTATCCGGGGACACCATTCCAAGTTTCCAGGGGCACCATTCCGAAATCGGAGGTCTGAAGGAGCACTCTCCCCGGGTCTGAGGGGGCACCATCCCGAAAAGTAAGTGGCCGAAATCCGTGGATTTTTTTAGGGGGGGGGGAGCACCAAATGCCAGGGCGCAACACAATACCCCTTTACGAAATCCTGGATCCGCCACTGACAAGTATGAATTCAAGACATCGAAATTGTGCACTTACTTATAAACTCCAGTCTGGCATAACGCAGTTTCCAGCAAATTTACATTCTCCGCCACATCCCAATCCTCGATAGTATAGTGGTGAGTATCCCCGCCTGTCACGCGGGAGACCGGGGTTCGATTCCCCGTCGGGGAGCTTTTAAAACCCAGGGTATCCCAATATTTCAAAACGCATTTAGAGCGACAAGGGGGCCAGAACTAGCATACCGAGGCTCCCAGTATGCAACCAATTGCACCGCTTTATGAGTAAGATGTACCAAAACTTACAAAATCTCACTGAAAAATTGTCGCGTTACAAGTAGGTAGAAATGACTGAAAATACACAACCTACGCAAAAGCCGTGCGGCTTGAACGTACCGTGTTTGTTTTTCCTCTTCTTCAGCATGATGGCCCTCTTCATGAAGAGCCGGGTGAAGAGCTGGCGGCGGTGCTCGACGCTCGGGTCGTACACTGTCAGCAGCTGTTGACGAGCGGCGCTGAACAGAGCGGCCACCTCGCCGGGCACCCGGCCCGTCTCGGGCTCCGTGTCACTGGTGGCCAGCAGCAGGAGTGGCGCGCGCCGCGGCAGGTCTCTGAGCAGGTCCAGCAGCGGCTCGCGCAGACCCAGCCGGCCGGCCAGGTACGTCCACAGACTGTCCAGTCGCGGCAGGTACACCACGGACGGCGTGCCACGCGCCGCCTCCGACAGCAGCTGCCGGCGGACGGAGAAGGAAGACTGGGTGTCAGAGTGGGGCAGTCACACACGATAGTTACCGCAGCTGCGAGCGCCGGAGTGTCAGAGCAGGACACCTGTCCTACAGTTCCCATGACAGTTATCGCAGCTGCCGGCGGACGGAGAACAAGGAGTGTCAGAGTGGGGCAGTTGCCAGTTACACGCGACAGTAACAACTGCGGACGGACGAGGAACGAGGAACACCTGCATAGTGCACAACTTTCAAAACACAATGCCGACAGTGACTATTCAGGTCATCAGAGGTCAAAAGACCTCCCCGACGGGGAATCGAACCCCGGTCTCCCGCGTGACAGGCGGGGATACTCACCACTATACTATCGAGGAGTCAATACCCAGGCCAGTGAAGCCTGTACAAATCCACTTAACTTCACACAATGAAGGAAGGAAAACGCCGACAAGCTCCATATATGGAAGGCTTTTGTAGATTGTGGATGTCGAACATAGAGTCGTCCCATTGTTTGTCCAGTTGCGCCTTGAACTAGTTTAAGGACCGATCAGATACCACTGCATTCGGAAGCGAGTTCCGATCCTTTATAACTTTTGTGCTGAATGTGTTTCTGGACACGAGCTTCGTGTGCTTCATGACCCGAGCCACCTGTGATCTCTTGTACGATCTGAGTCGCTCGGTACCGGGAAGACTTCCGGTGACATTGCCGAAACACTGTGGAACAACTTGCATGCAGTCACCATGTCGTCTCTGCATCTCCTCTGTTTTCTGTACACAAGGACATGACAATATCCATCGACGAAGCGGTTCGGAGCACGGGAGGTGTTTGATAGCGGTTCGGCAGCGAATCAGGTTTCGGTGATCACTGGTTGAAGTGCATCACCTTGCATTTCTGGGCGTTGAATGGGAGCAGCCATTTTTTAGACCAGCAGCCGAGTGCGTCGCTGTCGCTTTGGATGCTTATGCTGGCCCCTGGCACGTGACCACTGACAATACAGCTTTGCATCATCGGCGAATAGCTTGACCGAGTCGGGCACTTCCAAGGGCAGGTCGTTGGTGAAATAGTGAAGAGTCAATGTCCGAGAACCGATCCCTGAGGAATCCCACTAGTCACCGATGTCCAGGGGGACTTGCTTCCCTGGACAACAATCCTCTGCCGACGATCGAACAGAAACACTAGCGATCCAGTTGACAAGAGTTTCCCTGACACCGTACACGTAGAGCTTGTGGACCAAACATCGGTGTGGAACGGAATCAAACGCTTTGGAAAAGTCCAAGTAGATGACCCTGCACATTACGCAATGGTGTCAGCTACCCATTCAGCCCATAAGACTCGTCATCGCAGCGTTGACTGGATCGAACAAGGGATCGCGCAGCCATAAAGTTCACGTCCTCCCACGGTGTCTGCGCTGGTGACGAACCACCTTCCATCTATCGGACAGGACTCTGGGTCCGGGAGAACAGTGTGGCGTTGCAGCTGCCTCCAACGTATGTGGTGACGCTTCCGTCAGGTAAGGACAAGGAATGAGTCTGAGTTTATCGAGACAAGAAAACCGAAACTCAGATAGCAGCGGGAAGCTCACAGTTCACTACATGTGTCTAGTTTAGTTAAGTTTAGTTTATTTTCATAATCATCAACGGGTCGGTGCAACCCAATTATAGATGAAGTCCTACGTTGCATAAAACACAGGACGCATAAAATACACATATAAAACACATATACGCCTACAAAAATGATGATTGATGATGACGATAAGAATAAAAATAAAATAAAATAATGTGAGGGTGGACACTGGACATAACACTAGAGCACGGTCATAGAATACATGACAACCTGCTTCCTAAAAACGCCCATCCCTGTGTGCCAGATGTCTACGGCCCGAGCGGTGTTTAGGAAATCGTTGCAGTGACGAGGTGCTCTCACAAACATACTGTTCTTCACTGTGTTTACTCTTGCATGTGGCACGTTGAAGAGCATCCTGCTGCGGAGTACACGGGGAGGAGCTGCCAGAGGGAATGACGCCAAAAGGAGAGGGGAGTCAATTTTGTTGTTGTAAATGTCTCTCAGGAGCCTGATGTCGTACTGCAGTCTCCTTGCAGCGAGAGACGCGAGTCCAAAGCGGCAAGCGCCGAAGAATGGTCTTATAATCAAGCGAGACGTTTTGAACACGACATCGAGCGCAGAGCCAAATGAGAAACTTATGTTGAACATTTTCGATCCTTTTCAGGTGCATGTTGGCAGCTCCACCCCATATAACACAACAATACTCCAGTATTGATCTGATGTTCGCACAGTATGTTGATATGATCAGCCTGGGGTTCACATCATACAAAGAATGACCATTTTTGCCCGTCTGGTACGATCTAATCAGAAGACCGAGAGCCCTATTGGCTTTCTTCAGCACGGCATCGACATGGGTACCAAACGTCAACTTTTCATCAATGATCACACCCAGATCTCGCATTTCCCGCACTCTCTCAACCTCTGCACCTGCTATCGTGTAAACAGTAAACACCTGTGATAGGCCTTGTTCGCAGAGTAAACGAGATGACCTTACACTTCGCAGGGTTCAGTTTCAGCTGCCAAGTTGCTGACCACTGACAAAGCCCCTCTATGTCGGCTTGTAGTTTACGAACATCGTCCAAACCGTCGACTCTAGCGTACAACTTAAAATCATCGGCAAACAAAAGGCAATTTGAGGACACCACATCCGGCAGGTCATTTACATAGCATGCGAACAAGAGAGGAGATAGAAGTCCGCCTTCTGGCGTCCCTGACGGTACTGGAGCCCACGCCGAGCATTGACCGTTTACAACAACCCGCTGGCTTCTCTCAGACAAATACGATTTGAGCCAAGCCAAAGCCTTTCCATTTACATGGTACGATTTTTCAAGTTTGAGAATCAGCAGCTGGTGGTTCACGCTCTGGAAGGCGGAACTAAAATCGGTGTATATGACGTCAGTTTGAGAGCCAGCGGATATGTTGTCCCATACTTTGTGCAACATAGAACCTAAATTTGTGACACACGAACGTCCCGGCAAAAAACCATGCTGCTGCCAACTAAGGGCGGGCCGCACATGACTGATGAGCGTTTTAAAGGTAGTGTGCCAGCTTTTCTGGACCGTATGGAGTTAATGGCCCAGATAAGGAGAACCGGATTTTTAGAACTTATCCATACCTTCAAAACTCATGGAAACGTCTTAAATTCTTCAAATTTTGAGTACCCCAGTGCGAAATTGGCCCCGACGGGTTGTCGGTCGTACCCCAACCACATTTCACACCACTATGAACAATAAATGCACACACTGAAATCGCTATTACCGATATGCTCATCCAATCAAGTTTCGATAAACCCGTTCATCATCATCTCCTGCGGTTTCGAACACGCCTGTTAGGTGGTGCGGTAGACCGCGCTCAAAGCCAGGGCCCCGTTAACGTGAGGTAGCCGGGTCGGGGCAGCGTGCGCTGACCCAAGCCGGGGCCGCGCGTCCTCCCGGTGTCATTTGATAGCCCGGGGCTGCCCGCGGGGATGCGGTAGACCGCGCCCAAAGCTGCGGCCCCGGCTTGGGTCAGCGCACGCTGCCCCGACTCGGCTACCTCACGTTACCGGGGCCCTGGCTTTGGGCGTGGCTTCTGCTCATACTTTGTGGTGCGGTGGTGGTGCGTCGGGCCGCGCGCTCTGACTTCGGCCAAGAAAAATGCGTCAGCTGATCATTGTCATTTCTGCCACTTGCGTGTGGTGAAATGGGGTCATAACTTAAGAGACGGCTTTTTCATATCAATTATTTTACATAAAATCATATTTCAAACCATAAATAATGTTCGACAGCCAAATAAAAGAAACAATACCAATACAGGCTTACAGTTTAAGGCTCGACATTGTGTTGTCTACGATTAGACAGCTGATAACTCATTCCCGTACGTCGTAACTCTATAATGACCTTTGCTTATTGTCACATGTGCGCCGCATTCGCGATTGTTGCCGACGCCTGTTTGCAGGTCAGCCCACTACAGTTGTTATACATATCGAAAAACCGATAAACTTTTAGGCGAAAAAGGCACTATTCCAGGCCCAATTTTGATTTTCTTTGCGATATTAGGTAAAAACAGAAGCTTCTTATCCTAGGAAAAATAAAATTGGAAATCTTTCAAAGGTGGCACACTACCTTTAAAAACCACCTTTTCCAGGACCTTACTAAACAGTGGCAGCAGACTAACACTTCTGTAGTTCATCGCACAAGCCCTATCACCCTTCTTAAAGATAGGTACAACGTTTGCACGTTTCCAGGCTATCGGACAGACGCCCTGTTCGAGCGACAGGCGGCAAATCTTTGTCACTGGTGCGACTAGTTCGCGCGCACATTCATGGATGATTCGGGCACTTATATCATCTGGGCCACACGCTTTGTTCCTATTTGTTTGCAACAAAATGGAAAGGACAAGGTCCTCTGACACTTCAAAGCAAGACAAACCGCCTATGTCGTAGTTGGGTGCCTGGGGTACGACATTCACGCTAGGATCTGAGAATTTACTGGTAAACGTGCGGTTTAATAAGGCGGCCTTCTCGCGATCACTTTCAGCCTTCATATCTCCGTCTATTAAACAGGGTAGGTTGGAGCTCTTTCCTTTTAAACATTTCAAAAATGACCAAAAGCGTTTAGGGTTAGACGAGATATCACAGACAAGCCCTTTGAGATATTCTGCAAATTTCACACTCGCCAGTCGCTTGAACTGCCGTCGTTTCTCACTGAAGTCCTGCTGATTTTCTTCAATCCGGTGTCTCTTCAGCCTTCGGTACGCCGCCTCCTTCTCGCTGAGGGCTGATCGTACCACGCGGTCTAACCAGGGGGGCCGGCGACGCGACAGTGTTACCACCGGTATGTGATCACGAACAGCGAAATGTCAAAATGTCCACTAAATCCATGCTACCAACCCTACCTCACGCTTGACCGCGCTTCCATCTTCAGTAATCCCGGGAAGACAGCAAGCTAGGGACCTCAAAAAGGAGTA